CACACACCCACACACCCACCCACCCACCCACCCACCCAGGGCAGGAGCAGAGCCTTCAGCATAGCAGCACCTGGGGCCAAGTCACCCCAAGCACAGGACTTGCTGCCCTGGATTGTCAGAGTCCTTTGGGCAGAGAGACCGTGACACCTGGCACCTTGGCCACAGCCCAGCCCTCGTCCCTGAGATGGGGCTGCTCTGCTCATGGGGAGTCGGGGATTGAACAGGATGACTGGCAGATCCCCTGGCACAGGCAGGCATGACTGCCCCCTGTCACCAGCTCTGTGGGCTGTCCCCACAGAGCGCAGAAGACCAGCCACATGCAGTGGGCAAGGGCAGTGCAGGGCATAATTCCGCAGTCCACCTTCTCTGTGACAGTGGTCTCTGCCACCTGGACGGGCTGCAGGGACACGAGAGATCCCTCTGGCAGGGCTCACTGTCATGCCGCAGCCAGGCTTGCCCCCCAGGTCTTGCCTGCCGGGGACTTGAGTCTGGGTGCAGCCCCCTCCACGTCACCCCTGGGAGTTCTGAGTGTCACCCCCAAAGGATGCAGAAAAATGCACATAGATTCTTAGACGGTCAGTTGTGTGGGGACCACAGCCACGCTCGCTTTGGAAGCAGCCCGGGCTCTGGAAAGCTCTGTGGCCGCGTGCGATTACAGGACCTGTGTTCCCAGTTCTCGCGGTGGACGTCTTTGACAAGTTCAACTTCACGGGCGCCCGGGTACCACGCTTTGAGGACATTCAGGACGAGTTCCCCAGGGAGCTGGAATCCTCCGTGTCCTTCCCCGCTGATGTCTTCAAACCACTTGAGAAAAAAGGTGAATCCCTGAGAAGCCCCAGTGCCCACCCAGGAGGCAGGGGCTGTGTCCTGAGGGTCCCGGGAGGGGAGCAGAGCCTCCCTTGCTGCACACAGCAGCAGTGTGCCCCTCCGAGGATGGTCTCAGCGGCTGGGCTGTGTCCCCATCAGCTCCTAGTTAGGTCACTCGTGATGTGTCCCGCGCTGCGTGTGGCCGGCCCTCTGCCAAAACCTCCTCCCAGCAGCGCGCCACAAGGATCCACTTAAAATCCGCAGTGCTTGTAGTGCAGAAGTCCTACTGGGTGTGCGAGTATTCAAGTGACCAGAGGCTCTCACGCCCTAGGACCAAGCATGAGACTGACCTGTCTTTCCAACTGACAGAATCGCTGGTGGATGGGCGTTTTGCACACTCTGTGCTGTGTGCACGCTCTGCTCAGGGCTCACCCAAGGGACAGCGTGTGTGCCTGAGTCTGTGGCACCTTTACCTAGGATTCGTGTGTGTACGCGTGCATGCTCTGTACGTGTTTGTACACGTGTGCATTTCTTATGTGCCCGTGCCGCTTCTAAAGTGAGCGTGGCTGTGGTTCCCACACAACTGAGGAAAAGCCCTGGCCCTGCGCTCATCTGCCCCTGGCTGTCCGCCCTGGGTCCTCCTGACTGCCACCCTTTACCCTGTCTCTGAACCTGACTCCTGGGGTCCCCACAGAAGTGGGATTGTAGTATTTGTCACCTCACGACTGGCTTGTTTCATGGAGTGACATCCTCGAGGTCTACCCGTGTGCTGTTCTGCTCAGAATTCCCTTCTGTTTCACAACTGGGTACTATTCCATCGTGAGGCTGGACCACATTTTCTTATTCACTCGTCTGTCACAGACCTGTGCCTCGCTTCCTTCTTGTAGATATGGTGAACGATGATGCTTTGCACGTGGGTGTGCAAATACCTCTTCAAGATCCTGTTTTTAGTTCTTTTGTTGTTGTTTTGTTTTGTTTTTGGTACCGGGGATTGGACTTGGATCCTTGCACTTGCAAGGCAGGTAGTGGAACCGCTGAGCTAAATCCCCGGCCTTGTTTCTAGTTCGAGTACAGACCTGGAAATGGAGTTGCTGGAGCGGATGCTAATTCTGTGTGTAGCCAGCATCCCATTTGCTGTCAGACACTTGGGATTTTAAGATGTGCTGGCTCGAGGCTCTTTGCCAAGTGCTCAGCCCTGTGCTTGGTTGCAGACAGCCTCCGTAGGGCCATACCGCAGACAACACGCGCAGCGCCTGGGGCTGAGACGGAGGCCCCAGCCGGCAGGCGCAGGAGACACCCAGATGACCCTGGTCAGTTTGCAGTGGCCTTGGTCATTGTGTACCGGACCCTAGGCCAGCTCCTGCCTGAGCACTACGACCCCGACCGCCGCAGCCTCCGGTAAGGCTGGGTGCTGAGAGCTCTGGGTGGATGGGGGCTGGTCCTGCAGGGTCCTGGGGCTTCTAGGAGTCCAGCCTGGTTGCCCCCATCTTCACACAGACCTCACTCAGCCCAGACACTGCCAGGGCATGCTCCCTCTCCTGCCTCCAGTGGCCCATCCTGCCCCTGCCCCTGCGCCCTGCCCCGATCATACCGGTGCCATTACACGGACGAGCGAGTGCAGCCCCAGAGCCTCTCCTCATGACCTCTCAGTCATCATGCCTGTGTCACCCTGGGGACCGGCTGACTGGGCTGCGGTCATTTCTGGAACGGTCTCACTTGTACTCCCTGTGTCCCTGCTGCTGTGTGTCCTGCGCTGATGAGGTCTTCTGACGCGTGCCTTCTCTCTCTATCCAACTTTCCGAAGCCACCTTCCGGCCCAGACATGACAGGGTCCCGTCCCCTGTGGTCTGAGATGCAGGTCCCCAGGCCCAGGCCCTCCGGGGAGCAGGGCTTGGTCTCTGCTTGCGGACTGTGACTCAGTTGCTCATCTGACCCACGTCCTTGCGGCATGGACCCTCAGGTTTAAACAAATGTGACCCAATGGTGCTTACTTCTCTGCTTTCTGCCCCAGGCTGCCCAACCGGCCCGTCATTAACACACCAGTGGTGAGCGCCATGGTGTACAATGAGGGGGCCCCGCTCCCCAGCTCCCTGGAGCGGCCGGTGCCGGTGGAGTTCGCCCTGCTGGAGACGGAGGAGCGGACCAAGCCTGTCTGTGTGTTCTGGAACCACTCCCTGGAGTAAGTGCAGCCGGGAGCTGGTGAGGGGACCTGCACTCTGTGTGAGGGCCGTGCTGAGGTCAGGTGTCCCTCAGGTCCCACTTCTCAGTGTCCCCTAGATGCGTCTGTCCTCGTCTGCTGCTCCCTGTCCATTCTGTCATGGGGCAGGTGGCCCCTCCTCCCACTCTGCCTCTGAGGGTGTCAGAGCTCCCCAAGGCACGCACACACTCAGAGGCGTGCATGCATCGCAGAGAGACATGTACAGGGCAGGCACAGCCACCCACAGGCACACATGGATGTATACAGTGGAGACGCACGGATGTGCACACACACACAGCCATGCATACACACAGGGCCCCTCAAGAAGGTGGCAGTGGGGACAGCAGCAGACTCAGGTGCCCATTTCCCTTCGGATGAAGCGAGGGCTCGCTGGGACACACAGGAAGTACAACTAGAGGTCCGGTCCCGGTTCCCGGTTCTTGGAGACTCCCAGGCAGTGTCCCTGACCTCAGCAAACCACAGCACGGCCGCAGCACTGGCGTCCCCTGCCCCCGAGCCTGGGAAGTCCCTCCCCCAGCATTTGTCACAGGCCTGGTTTAGAAGCTGCCAGACCCTCCAGTAAGTGGCAGAGGCAGTGTAAGGCACAGCCATGTCCTCCAGCGGCCTTATTATGAAGAGCTAGTGTGGAAAGGGACTTGTGCACCTGTGAGACTGGCTTTGGGGGCCTGTGTCGTGTCCCCCTGGCCAGAAGCCAGCAGGGTTCTGGTGTTCATGTTGGCTTTGTAGCAGCAGGGTGTGCCCAAAGTGCCCCCTGGCTTTGGAAGGAGCTTGCTTTGCTCCGCCTGTATGTGTCCCATACATACACATATGTGTGGGTGGGGATGCCCAGGGCTTAGGGGATTAGCCTGAGCCCCACACCACCCTCGAGCTGGGCCGCATTGTGGTCTCCTGGACAGAGGGGCTGGCCAGGGAGTGGGGCTGCCGGGGCGGCTCAGCTTAGCAAGTAGGCTCCTGCCCGGGCCGGTGTCTCCTTCTATGCCCTGTGCGTTCCGGATGCAGTTAACGAGCAGCCAGCACAGTGTCTGGAACATAAAAGACACTGGGGCTACAAAGGAGAGAGTGAAGAAGCCCTTTCACCAGGCGTGAGGCGTGGGCGGCTGCCGGGCACGGCTGTCTGTCTGGGGTCATTTGTTTGAATTCAGGCAATTAGCTCTGACTCTGTGATCCGCCCTCTGCTTAATGTCGCCCTGTTATCCCTGGATCTGACACTCTTGGAAAACGTGTGAACTGTCACATCCCAATTCACAGATGAGTAAAGCAAGGATCAGAGCGGTTATGTGACTTTCCCAGAGTCGGGAGGGCAGGGGCCCCGTAACACTTGTTATTTGGGGTTCCCCTACTCTGACGGGGGAATCATAATTGAGCTCTGGCTTTCAGGCAGCTCCCATAAAATGTTGGGCAATCTGAAGATGAAAGCGTGTGCAGGAGGTGAGATGTTGCTCCTGAAGTCACTGAGGCTCAAGTGCAGCCTGGGAACAAAGTGACCGTTGTGGTCACGGCCGAGGCCCTGGGCCACAGGCCACGCAGTGGCATTTGACACAGAACTTCAGAGGTGCCGGCAGGGAGGACGCGTCCGCATGGTGCCCGGGCCCAAGCCGGCTTCCACACAGTGGGGAAGGTGCAGGCCACGTAAAGGCTGCCCGAGGCTGAGGCTTGGTGCCAGCGGCTGTGTGCTGCACTTCCTGCTCCCTGTGTTGGGCTAGGATGACCTCAGAGACCCTGGGGCGGGCAAGTGTGGCCCCGGAGTCCCCTCAGAGGGAGAACTTTCTCACCCCCGCTCCCGTTCCCCACAGCATTGGAGGGACCGGAGGGTGGTCGGCCAAGGGCTGCGAGCTTGTGTCCCGGAACCGGACCCACGTCACCTGCCAGTGCAGCCACGCGACCAGCTGCGCAGTGCTCATGGACGTCTCAAGGCGCGAGGTGGGCATCCCACGGCCACCTGCTTGGGGAGCGATCGAGGCCTGTGCGTGCCGGAAGTCAACCTGGCCCCGGCCCACCCTGCATAAACCACATCACCCTTCCGAGCCCTTTGAGTAAACCAAATGCAAGGACTAAAAACCATGTTCTAGGGATCTATGAGGCTGTCCCTGACAAAGCCCCCTTCAAAGGTGGGGTTTTGTTTTTCGTCTGCAGTGCTGTGGATTGAACCAAGGCCTTCTCACTGAGCTGCATCCTCAACCCTGTCTTTTTTTTTTTTTTTTTTTTTGACAGGTTCTCACTAAATTGCTGAGTTGCCAGACTAGGCTGGAACTTGTACTCCTACCTCAGCCTCCCAGAGTGCTGGCGTTCCAGGCGTGCGACCCCACCCTGGGCTGGGAGGGCTTTCTAAGCACCTGTGTCGCACATTAAATTACCCTCAGGCCTGGAGCTTCAGGGATGTCACCCCCTTCAGAGCAGTGTCCCTGGCCATCTGGTGGGCAGATACTGAAGACAGAGGGGTCAGGGCCCCCCAGCGACAAAGTGATCCCGTTAAACCCTGGCATCTCAAACAGCCTGGGAATGTGAGCAGCCACTGAGGATGGGGAATCCGGCAGAGGGGCCTGGGCTAGGGGCCTGGGGACCTGGACTCCCTCCATGGAGGCCGGGCGTGGTGTCCAAGCCAGATGTGGGAGGCCGCATCTGCCACCTCCCTGGGATGGGATGTTAAGCAGCTGAGATTTCTGCGCACTCCGGAAGTGTGTATGTCAACCTTCAGACTAGAGCAAGGCAGCACCCTTCTGTGCCCCGGCCCACCCCTCCCGGGGCAGGTGGCCCCAGTGGAGTTTAATTGTTGGTGGTCTTTGGCTGAGTAAGGGCAGGACTCAGGGTGAGGGTGGGGACGGCGATGAACCCGGAGTTGTCAGAGGACCTCAGGGCCACAGGTCTCCCATGAGTCCCTGGCCAGGCAGGGAGACTGGGGGTGCCTCAGGCTCCCAGGGAACCTGGGCACTGAGGGGAGCCCAGGAGGAGCAGTTATGGGCTTGGGCACCTGGCCTCCTTGGGCCTACCCAGTCCTGGCTTCCTGGGACCCCGTGAGTAGTTCCTGGCTCACAACTCTTATTATACCACAAGCAGTAGAGCTAGTGACCCAGACGCACAGCCGCCTGGGCATGGGATCCTGGAGAGAGCTGACACTTTGCAAAGACCCAGGAAGCAGTTTCCAGCATGAATCATTTACCTGTGAGCTGCACACAGAAAACTAACGTAGTAACTCTCATGCAGATTTTACCACCGCTGAAGATGTGTTGGTTGCTTTTAAGACATGGGTGATGAGGGGCCAGAAAATTGTAACAAGTCAGTTGGTCCGATGAGAGCAGCTGCCTGGGATCCATTCACTTCCTGCCAGTGACAGCTGAGTATACAAAGTGTCATGTTGGTCCCGCCACCCCCCATCCAGCAGGGTGACCACTGGCAAATTTTGCAGCCTCTGAAGCTTTAGTTTTCTTGTCTGTTTGTTTTAAGTCCCATTTAAGCATATGAAATAATACACTTGACTCATTTATGAGAATCCCTGCCACATAGTAACACAAAACACGTTAGCTATTGGTATTATATTATCACATATTACCCAGGATCTCGCTAAGTAGTTTGGGCTGGCCTTGAACTTGCAGTGACCCTCCTGCCTCAGCCTCCCAAGTACTGGGGTCGCAAGGCATGTGCCCAACTTGACATATAGTGCCTTTTGCATACACCAAACCCCTTTGGAAGGACTCCCAGGCTCCAGATTTTGGATAGATAGTTATCCTTTGACAACGGGATTGATATACGAGGTTTCTTTTGTAAACGTGGCAAAATATCCAGCAAAGGAAACGCGCCCTTCACAGTGGTGTCATTGGTGGCCATAGTGTGTCCCCACTGTTGCCCAGCCATCGCTGTCCCTGTCCCCAGAGCTTGCTGATCACGGCTGATGTGCCGTTTGGTGGCCCCGCCAGTCTCTGATAGCCTGACGACTGGGAGCAGAATTCCCGTGTTGTGCGGTAGAGAGCAGGTAGACCAGAGCCAGCCTCACCCTCTCCTGCTTCTGTCCACCCTGCCTGCAGCACGGGGAGGTCCTGCCCCTGAAGATCGTCACCTACGCTGCCATGGCCCTGTCCCTGGCGGCCCTGCTGGTGGCCTTCATGCTGCTCACCCTGGTCCGGACCCTGTGCTCCAACCTGCACAGCATCCACAGGAACCTCACGGCGGCACTGTTCTCTGCCCAGCTGGTCTTCGTGGTCGGCATCAGCCAGACGGAGAACCCGGTGAGGCCCTCTGCTCCCTTTGCCTGGCCACAGCGACCCTGAGTGTCACCACGTGCCACCTCTCCTCTTCCTGTCTTCCTGTAAGACAGACGTAGTGGAGGGAGAAGCTCTTACTTGTGCTGAGAGCGGAACCCAGGGCCTCATGCTTGCTCATAGCTGCTCTAGTGCTGAGCTGCATCCCAGCCTTTTTTATTTTTTTATTTTGAGACAGCATCTCAAACAGTGGCCCACGTATGTCAAAGGCTTGGGATCCTCCTGTCTCAGCCTCCAGGGCGGCAGAGATTACAGGCACGTACCACAGTGCCCAGCCTTGCTTGCTTTTTTAAGGGGCTAGGGTGGGAGTGTCACCGATGCTAAAGTTCGGTGAGTACAGCAAGGACTCCTAGGACCCTCAGGTCCTAGAAAATCACAGTCACTTGCCAAGTCCCAGAGTCCCCGGCACTGCCGTGGGAGTGCTGGTGGCTGGAGCGCAGATAGCTGTGGGCAGATGGGGAAGGAGGAGAGAGAGGCAGAGGAGCTTGATCTAACTAAGCGCAGGGGTGCGGCACCTGAGGGTCCTGCAAGCTCATAATGCTACACAGGTAAAGTCAGTGAGTGTGTTCTGGACAGGGAAAATCAGGCCACCTTTCCTGGACCCCGGATCCCCTCGTCAAGCCCCTGTGCCCTGTTACTGGGGGATGACCAGTTTCTTTGTTAGGGACTGCACAGTCATCCACAGCACAAGCCAGTGCGAGCCAGCCCCCCGCAGGCCAGTGCCCTCTGTGTGCCCTTGGGATTGTACCACGGAGGAAGGTCGGGATTTTCCAGGTGTCATGGGGACCCTGGCACTGTGGCTTGTGGTCATGACATACACAGCACTGAGTGCTCACCCAGGTGTGTGCGGTGTCCTGGGCGCTTTGGCTGGTGTCTTCTGCCCCACAAACGCCCTTGAAGGCCAGGTCTCGTGCTGACGTACCCATTGGTGGATACACAGCCCTAGGGAAAAAGAATGAAAGAAGTGGATGCGAGTGGTGCACATCTGTAATCCCAGCACTGTATAGGAGGCTGAGGCAGGAGGATCGAAAATTTGAGCTTAGCCTGGGCCTCCATTTGATGAGCAAGGGCCTGGCCTCCTGCTGCCCACCACTGCTCCCCAAGGCCAGGCGCTGGGCAGTGTGGGCACCTGGGAGGGGCCTCTGCCAGCACCCAAGAAGCAGGCTCACCTCCACCCCCACCTGCGGGATCCTAGGGCACCGGACAGGCAAGGGCCCCAGTGGGAGCTGTGCAGTGCGTGCACTTGAGGGGGCCCCGCCAGAGGAAAGCAGAGGCCTGGACGGCAGCTGCACCTCATGTGAAATGCGGAGGGCCCGGCTATGTCTGACTCATCAGCTGCCTGTGCGGAGTGCTTTCCGGGCCGTGTGGCACTGGGGAGGAGGACAGGAGGAAGCCAATTTGCGGAGCTCCCGGAGCTTGGCGCTGTGCCTGGACTTTGTGGGTTTTCTCTAAATTCTCCATCCTATCTCTGGGTGAGGTTTTCCACCTCCCAGCCCCTGGCAGGCTGCAATGATTTACTGTGCTTTCGTGTCCCTTTGTTGTGCTCTGGAAACGGCAGTATGCTTGTTGCAGAAGTCTGGGTGTACGACCCACCGAACGGAGAAAATTGCATTTGTAGTGCTTGCTTTCTCAAGCGGTGGTTTTGTGGGTTTACTTTTTGTGTTACTGAAAGCAGCAAGCCAGCCAGCCTTCTCACCCTCCTCCTTTGCCCAAGCCAGCTGCACTTTCCACTATGGAAACGGGGTCACCAGCCGGGCACGCCCCCACAGCTGGCTTCCTGGGCGAGCACAGGGCACCCCGTCCCCAGCCATACATCAGATCACTTCTTGCACTCGGGCTCCTGCTCGGCAGCAGATCTGACAAATGTTAGCAGAAAATAGTTCCTTACCACTCCTGGGGGTACGCTGGAGAGCATCTGGTCTCAAAATAAAAAGGGCTGACAGGCACTGGACTCCTGGGTCACAGCCCCTGCCTGTGCTGATGACCTGTCCTCGGGGTGCACTGACCCAGTGCCCGAACAGAGGTGCTTCCCTGCTGCGGTCAGGGTGGTGTCCCTCTGCTGCACCTCCAGGTGTGTGGCACCCAAGGCCTTTGGGCCAGGACCCTGGAAGGCTGCCCAGAGCTGGGGGGTGTGGTCAGGAATGGGGCCCAGGCCTGGTGCGTGGCTGTGGGTGGGGCTCGGGGTGGGCGTGGTCAGGGTGGGGCTGTGCTGCGGGCATGGACGGGGTCCTAGGACCTCACCCCTGACTGTCCCTTGGATGGACACCTCTTACCCTCTCCCACTGTCTGGCCTGAAAACCTTGGCCCAGACAGGTCCTTCCTGAAGGCCCTCTCGAAGCTACCCTGGGCCACATCCTCAAGTTCATCCCAGACTTGTAGGACGGGTTGCACTCATGGCCTCAAAAGTTGAACATGTGTGAGCCCTATACCCGACTCCTCCTCGCCCTGTCTTCCTCCTGGCCTCCCACTACCTCTGCTGAGGGGAGACGAACTGCCCTTGGCCACACTGTGAACATTGCTTTTCTCTTCTCTGAGCTTGGTCACTGGGCAGACACAACGCCCTGACCAGCCAAGGACAGAGGCTTTTTTCCCTGTTCTTATTTCAGCAGAAAACCTAAGGACCTTATTCCTGCTGGACAGTGAGGTCCCTGAATGAAGACCCTCTCTCCCAACCCTAAGGGGCCAGTGGTGATGGGCACAGGTCCAGCTCTAAAGTCTTTTTTTTTCTTTCAACTTTAAATGCCAATATTTAAACTTTTGGAGCCACCACACACCATATTTTCCTGCTTCTCTTTTAAAAAGGAGCCGCCCCGCCTGTGTGCCTTGTCCCTTGGGCAGGGCCATTGAGTGCCTGCCTCCCTCTGTCCCTGGTTCCGTCTTGGTTCCATCTGAGACACCGTGGTCCTTGGCGCTCAGCTGCCCCTGAGGACATGCAGGAGAGCCGAGGAGCCCCTCACGTAGCAGGGGTGGCCCAGTGTGGTCGCTCCAGCCTCAGGGGTGGCCCTGCTGAGCCCAGCCTCTCTGCACAGTTCCTGTGCACGGTGGTTGCCATCCTCCTGCACTACACCTACATGAGCACCTTCGCCTGGACGCTGGTGGAGAGCCTGCATGTCTACCGCATGCTGACCGAGGTGCGCAACATCGACGCCGGGCCCATGAGGTTCTACTACGTTGTGGGCTGGGGCATCCCGGCCATTGTCACAGGTGAGGACACCCCGAGCAGCCCTGCCAGGGTGGCCTGGGTGGAAATACAGCAGACCACTGCTTTGTGGGGCTCCCAGCATCAGTGCTGGCCTGGGAAGCAGAGCTCTCGCAGGAAGGAAGAGACACCTGCTCTCCTCCCTCTCCTGGGGAGAGGACACACTGGGGACACACAAATGAGGCTGCCCAGTGCCCACCTGGGGGATGTCGGGTGTGAGCTCACACCTGAACAGCTGGGCCCAATTGTTCTTTGTCTGCAGCACCTGACAGAAGAACCGTGGCTGCCAGTGGGTGGATGAAGGGATGGACGGACGGAGGGTGGTTGGATGAATGAATAATAGATGGGTGGTGAGTGGCTGGATAGAAAGAGGGATCAGTGGATAAGTGGGTGGATGGACGGATGGGTAGATAAGTGCAGTATGAATGGACGGATGGATGAGTGAGTCAGATGTGGTGGTGCACACTGTAATCCCAGCATTTGGTAGGCTGAGGCAGGAGGATTGCAGTGAGTTCTAGCCTGGGATACATGACGAGTTCAAGGCCAGCCTGAAGTACATAGCGAGACCCTGTCTCAAAAAGAAAAGAAAGAAAGTTAGGTTAATGGACAGGTAAGTGGATAGAGGGGTGGGTGGATGGGGGAGTGAGTGAACCATGGGATAGAATAGCAGTGCCTCCTTAGCACATATTTCACTAAATAGCAGGAAGTCAGCCTTTGCTTTAGTTTGAGAGAGGCCCCCTCTTCTGTGCCCGGCTGAAGAGCTGAGCTTGCTTCTCTCAGGTGATCCCTGGTTCCTTTGATCTGAGCATAGTCTGAGGCCACAGGCCCTGGGAAGGGGTCATTCCCGCCCCCAGGCCCTGCACAGGTCACTGGCCAACAGGGTCCCAGCCTCCTGAGCCCTCTCTGCTCCCACCCAGGAGCCTCCGGGGGCCACCCGTGGGGGAGCTCAGCTCTCCTGCTGTGCACAGAAGCGGGACCTTTCTCCAAGGCAACAGATGCTCTGATACTCGGTGAAATACGTGCTACGGAATCACTGCTGCCGGGGTGCGTCCCCTCCACGGGCCCTGCGGGATGGAGTCCTCCGTCTGCGCAGAGTGGGCAGAGCCACGTCTCAGTCTAGGGACGCATCACGTGAGAGAGCACTGAACTGAGAAGCGAGTTCTTGAAAATGATCTTTTTAAAGCTTCTCCACTTAAAGGCATCTTGAAGCCTTCAGCAGACGAGCTCCCCCCCGCCCGTGACCTCTGTCTTGTGTGGGAAGCCACTGCCTCCAGGAGGGCTTTGGAATCCAAACCTAGATAGTACGCATTTCTACCTTCTCTAAAAAACACGTCTCTGGAAGCGATCTTAAAATGATTCTGAGGAACCCCAGATAGATGAACACGTCGGCCATGCCAGCTGTGGTCTTGGCCCTTACGTTGGCTGTCCCCACCCTGCCCAGGGAACTGGGTGACTGGGGCCCCTTGCAGTCTCTGTTGCCCAAGTTCCCTGCGACCAGGGGATGCACCCCTTTCGTTGGTCAGTTTGCTTTTCCATCCCTCACACACCGGTGGTACCTCCTTCACATGCAGTTCAGATCTAGGCCTGGGCTCGGCGGCTAGGGAGGAGGCAAAGCCTTTGTCCTCGGGGGCGGGGGCGCCCCTCCAGGACAGAGGGCGCTAAGTGAAGCGCACCTGACACCAGGCCCCGGAGCGGGTGCGGAGGACTGGGAAGCTGCTCTCAGCTGGGGCAGGCACTGGCTTCCGGGAGGAGGGGCCCTTAATGCTAGACCTGGAGGGCAGAAGTGTGGGAAGGCGGCACACTTGAGACTCAGCAAGGAGTACGGCCGGTTGGCGCCTGACCTGTGGTCAGGACAAGGACTGGAGCAGCCCAGGGGCTGTAGCCTCCCAGGGCCACACCACAGGGGGCTGGGAGGCCATAGAAGCGGCCCAGTGAGTCTTTGAGGCAGAGGGAGGTCACTGGAATGAGTCCTAGTCTTCTTAAATTCAAGCAAGTAGCTCAGTGCTGCAGCTGCCTGCCTCGTAAGCGCAAGGTCCCAAGTTCAATCTCTGGTACCAAAAAAAAAATTTTTTTAAAAGGAGAACGGGGGTGTGGAATGACTCAGGGGCAGTTGTGGAGCCCGAAGAGGGAGCCCCAGGAAAGCCAGTTTGTCACCAGTGGTTAGAAAGAAAGATGCTGTGTCTAGGTGATGTGGGGACACTGTGTGCACTGAGCCTCCATACGTGTGAGGCAGCAAAAACTGCTTGGGTGTGTGTGTGTGTATGTGTGTGTGTGTGCGTGTGCGTGTGTCTGTGTGTGTCTCTGTGTGTGTCTGTGTGCGTGTGTGTGTCCATGGTGCAGTGTGTGTGGTCTGGGTGCCTGTGTCCCACACCCAGCCCCATAGGTGACTTTGTTACCCACCGTCTCTGGCTGCTACTTCCTCACTGGCACCTTGGGTGGGTCTGAGCAGCCCTGGCAGGATCTGGCCCCTCTTGGTAGCCCAGTCCTATGGACTCTGCCACTGTAGGACGATGGATCCACAGCAGTGCCTGTGAGGAGCTGTGGGGTGCAGCTGGCCTGTGACGTGGCCTGCTTGTCGGGCCTCCGTCTCATCCTAGTGGGTGTCGGGCTCCTTGCTGCTCCGCCCAGGGAGGCAGTGCAGGGTGCCGAGTGTGGCCCTGCCCCCGCCTGGCCCTGGGGTGGAGCAGTCATCGGCATTGTGGCCCTCACTCTCCTCTGCCCCCGTGTACCCAGGGCTAGCAGTTGGCCTGGACCCCCAGGGCTATGGGAACCCCGACTTCTGCTGGCTGTCACTCCACGACTCGCTCATCTGGAGCTTCGCTGGGCCCATCGGAGCTATCATCGTTGTAAGTGTCGGAGCCTTCACGGAACCTGCTGTTCTGGGCACACAGGGACATAGGAGCCCGGGCAGCCGAGGGTGGGCAGAAAGGGCTCATCTCACAGTGATGTCACCAAGGCTGTCTTGGGGACATTCTCAGATCCATGGATTTGGGGATCATATTTCACATCCCCTGGGCCCCAGGAGGATGCCCACTCAGGCAAGCTGAGGGTGCTGGCTGTCACCTGGCCCAAGACTCACCCAGCAGGCTTGAGACGAGTCCCACCTCCCCAAGAAGCAGGATGAAGAGCTGCAGAAGCACTGGGCGGTCTGGTCCGAGGAGACTGAGGGAGCAACCATCTGACTTTTTTCCCCCCCAGATCAACACAGTCATCTTTGTCCTGTCTGCAAAGGTTTCCTGTCAGAGAAAGCACCACTACTATGAGAGAAAGGGGGTCCGGTAAGTTGAGACCAGACCTGACTGGTGGCTGGGGTGGAAAGGAAGCGGCATTGTATCTGCGTTTTACTAATGGGGAGACTGAGGCAGGGTCACACAGCTAGTTATGGGCAGGTTGGGAATCGCACACTTCGCCTGCACACACAGACCTGCTTCCTGGCATCTTTGTGCACCAGGCCTCAGGGCCTGAACACCTTGGGGAATTTACATTTGGGTTTTGCCTGCCTTCCAAACGTCCTCACTAGCACGCCTGCCTGCCTTGCTCTGCAGGGCTGGCCCTGCTCCTGAAAGGACTTAGGGTTGGGGAATAAACGGATTGGAGGGATGTCAGGTGTCCTGAGGGATGAAGGGAGGAGGACCAAGGAGGACAGCGCTGACCTGATCCTGGTCTGGCCCGGCCGTGGCCACTGCTCCTGCAGTTCCGTGCTCAGGACAGCCTTCCTCCTGCTGATGCTCGTCAGCGCCACCTGGCTGCTGGGGCTGCTGGCCGTGAACAGCGACAAGCTCAGCTTTCACTACCTCTTTGCTGCCTTCAGCTGCTTGCAGGTAGGTGTCCCTGAGTCACCTGAGGGGCTTCTGCCCCCGGGTCAGCACTCTGGAAAAGGGTGAGGGAGAAGCCTTGTGCTCAGTCCCACTACCAGGGAGGAGGCCGGGACCCTGCCCACCACTGCCAAGTTGGCCCGATCCCACTGGGTCCCTGGGAAACGGAGTGGCCCTTTATGGTCACACCAAATAACTGCCTAGTGATTTAGAGGATGTGGAGGGGACCCAAGAGGACCCGTGTGCCAGCTGCCCTGCCCAGCCTCAGTATCTAGGGCTCCCCTGGGCCTGCTGCTGACCACTGTCTCCTCTCCCCAGGGCCTCTTCGTCCTCCTGTCCCACTGCGTGTTCAACAGGGAGGTCCGGAAGCACCTGAGGGCCGTGCTTACTGGGAAGAAGCTGCACCTGGATGAATCAGCCACCACGAGGGCCACTCTGCTGACGGTAGGAGGCACCCTGGGCCTGGGAGCCGGTGGCCCCTCAAAGGAGAGCTGTGGCTTCATGTCCCAGAGCTGTCCCTGGAGTGAGGCTTCTATGCCGCCTGAGAAAATGAGCAGAATCAGCTCTCAAGGGAAAAAGAGGGCCAGAGTGGCAAGGACCCTGACCCAGAAGAGGTGGCCCCAGTGTAGGCTAGACAGTGCTCCCCTGGCCTGCCCAGGCTCCCGTTGCCTCCTGTGCACCAGGCAGGGGCACGGCCGGGTTGCAGGTCTGGGGTGAACTGAGGGACACAGCCACCCTCTGAGGTGCTTCCCTTCCCCTAGCGCTCCCTCAACTGCAACAACACGTACAGCGAGGGGCCCGACATGCTCCGCACAGCTCTGGGCGAGTCCACTGCCTCACTGGACAGCACCACCAGGTCAGTGCTCTCCTGCTGTGGGGTGGGTATGGGGGCCGGTTCGGGGCAGCAAGCCAAGAAGGCACCAGCTTGTCCCGGTGCGCCCAGGGAGCCTGTGTCCCTCTGTTGATCAGGACAGGGATGGTATAGGGGACCTTCTGGAGCCCATGTGGCCATGCAGTTGCTCTTCAGTGTCTGTGCCTCTGAGCAACAGTCCTGAGCCCCTTTTTCTTCCCAGGGATGAAGGGGTGCAGAAGCTCAGTGTGTCCTCAGGGCCGGCACGTGGTGGCCATGGCGAGCTGGATTCATCTTACGTCCCCAGGAATTCCAAGAAACCCCGCGGTATGGCTCCCCTGGCACATGCTTGTTTACCCACATGCCCTCCACCATGTGAGGACCCAGGCCACACTCGGGCCCGTGCCTGAGCCACCCCCACCGCCCCTGCAGGCCCTGATTCGGATTCGGACAGTGAGCTGTCACTGGACGAGCAGAGCAGCTCCTACGCCTCCTCTCACTCGTCAGACAGCGAGGACGACGTCGGGGAAGCCGAAGACAAGTGGGACTCAGTCGGGGGCCCTGTCCACAGCACCCCCAAAGGTGAGTGGCATGCACTGATGGGCTGTGGGTGGCAGGCTGGGGCAGGCCTCCTCCAGGACCTCCCGGCAGAGCTGTGGCCACACAGGATGGGGGTGCACTGCTGGTCACTGCAAGGGCCAGATGTGGCTTCTGGTGCTGGTGTCCTGGGAGGATGGGAGCGTCCTGTCTCAGGACCTCAGTTTCCTTACTTTCATTGGGAGTCGGGGCCACTCCCGGAGGCCACCAGAGCCAGCATGTTTTGGGGTGCAGCTGCCAGTGGGCTAGGCTGAGTGTCGATCTTGTCTCAGCTGACACGTTGGCCAACCACATCCCAGCCAGCTGGCCTGATGACAGCCTGGCAAGGAGCGACAGTGAGGAGCTGGGCCCTGAACCCCCGCTGCGGGTGGAGACCAAGGTCAGCGTGGAGCTGCACGGGCAGGAGCAGGGCAACCACTGCGGCAGCCATCCCCTGGACCCCACCAAGCCTGCAGCTGTGCTCGGCACCCAGCTGCCCGAGCAGAGGAAAGGT